GAGACTATATTCTAACTACAGGAGTAGGCAAGAGCTGTGCCTCTACCCCCAAGTTCCACACTTCTCAAGAAGCATGCCTGTGCCATCTAGCTCCCTGTTGCTTACCCTGTGGACGTCTGTTAACCCTCTCCTAAACCTCTTCTCTGCAGGAAGCAGCTCTTGCTGCCAAGTTCACTGAAGTTTATGCCATCAACAAACAGAGGCTGCAGAATCTAGAGTTTGCTCTGAATCTCCTGAGACAGGTAATTGATCTTAGTATGAAATTCTACTTCAAGCTGTTCTAACAGGTGATAAATACAGGCTCTCTTAGAGAAACGGTCTGTGAATTGATGGGAGTATACCCTTGCTAATGTTTCTGGGCAGGACCAGTGCAAAGACTGGTCCGAGCCAGTGCTTCTACTGACATGAGAACTTAATACACATTTGCTGAAAGTGAATGCTATTTTTGGCTGGGCATGGTGGCTCATGCCTGTCATCGCAGCACTTTGGGAGGCTGAGGCAGGTGGATCACCCGAGGTCAGGAGTTCGAGACCAGCCTGGCCAACATGGTAAACCCTGCCTCTACTAAAAATACAAAAACTAGCTGGGTGTGGTGGCACACACCTGTAATCAATCCCAGCTACTCAGGACACTGAGGTAGGAGAATTGCTTTAACCCAGGAATTGGAGGTTGCAGTGAGTCGAGATCACTCCACACTACACTCCAGCCTGGGCAACAGAGCAGGACTCTGTCTCAAAAAAAAAAAAAAGTTAATGCTATTTTCTGAAGTCCATGATGTTTTATGACAGCATTATTTGTAACAGCAAGACACAAAGCGGTTCAGTATTCATCAGCAATGGGCTGAACTGCAGTCTGTCCACAGAGTGGAAACGGTGCTGCTGTTAAACCATGAAGCAGTATTCTCTGTGCCGAGCTGGAAATCTCTTTGTAAGTGCCATCGGCAGCAGGGTACACAGCAAGGATTCCATTTGTGCAGAAAAGACAAACACATGGTGCATACCTCAGACAGACATGCTTCTGTGAGCACAGAGAGCGTCTCCAAGGCTGACGGACACACCCCAGGAGCGGGACCAGAGGCAGGAGTTCGTAGTTTTCTCTTAAACTCTTCCAACAGCTTAAAAATGTTTTACCTAATTTTTTTTTTTAAAAATACCCAAACTAGTTGTTTGATCATCTTGTAAGTAACCCTAGAACTCTACAACTAACATGAACTGGCACTGAGGGAGTCCCTTGGGGATCACAGGACAACTGCTCTAACCAGGTGGGGACAGGCCCCACGTGTGCTGCCAGAACCTGGCTTTAACCTTGCCTTGTCTTCCTCATCACAGCAGCTGGAAGTAGAAGTGACCCATGAGACCCTGCAGATGAACAAGCCGGACTCTGGAGTGGAGGAGGCGTGGAAGATCAGGAAGGAATTGGATGAGGAGAAGGAGCGGAGGCAGCAGCTGGAGAGCGAGATCAAGAGCACCCGGGAAGAGATCCGGACCCTGCGGAATCAGGGGCCTCAGGAATCGGTGGTAAGGAAGGAGGTGCTCAAGAAGGTGCCGGATCCTGCGCTGGAGGAGAGCTTCCAGCAGCTGCAGCAGACACTGGCGGAAGAGCAGCATAAAAACCAGCTGCTGCAGGAGGAGCTGGAGGCACTGCAGCTGAAGGTGCACGCCCTGGAACAGGAGACAAGGGACGGGGGCCAGGAGTATGTGGTCAAGGAGGTCCTACGCATCGAGCCTGACAGGGCCCAGGCAGACGAGGTCTTGCAGCTACGGGAGGAGCTGGAGGCACTGAGGCGGCAGAAGGGCACCCGGGAGGCGGAGGTGCTCCTCCTGCAGCAGCGTGTGGCCACCCTGGCCGAGGAGAAGAGCCGGGCACGAGAGAAGGTCACCGAGAAAGAGGTAGTTAAACTGCAGAATGACCCCCAGCTGCAGGCAGAGTACCGACAGCTGCAGGATGACCATGAGCGGGGACGCCAGCTCCAGGAGAAGCAGGAGGAGGAGCTGAGCTTCCTCCAGGAGAAGCTCAAGAGGTTGGAGAAGGAGCGAGCCATGGCCGAGGGCAAGATCACCGTCAAGGAGGTGCTCAAGGTGGAGAAGGACGCATCCACTGAGAGGGAGGTCAGCAATCTCACCCGCCAATACGAGGATGAGGCTGCCAAGACTCGTGCCAGCCAGAGGGAAAAGACCGAGCTGCTCCGGAAGATATGGGCCTTGGAGGAGGAGAATGCCAAAGTGGTGGTGCAGGAGAAGGTGCGTGAGATCGTGCGGCCAGACCCCAAAGCAGAGAGTGAAGTGGCCAACCTCCGCCTGGAGCTTGTGGAGCAGGAGCGAAAGTACCGGGGGGCTGAGGAGCAGCTCCGGAGCTACCAGAGTGAGCTGGAGGCCCTCAGGAGGCGGGGCCCCCAGGTGGAAGTCAAAGAGGTGACTAAGGAAGTCATTAAGTACAAGACTGACCCCGAGATGGAGAAGGAGCTTCAGCGGCTCAGGGAAGAGATCGTGGATAAGACCAGACTGATAGAGAGGTGTGATTTAGAGATCTACCAGCTGAAGCAGGAAATCCAGGCCCTGAAAGACACCAAACCCCAGGTCCAGACCAAAGAGGTGGTCCAGGAGATCCTCCAATTTCAGGAAGACCCTCAAACGAAGGAGGAGGTGGAGTCTCTGAGGGCAAAGCTCTCAGAGGAGCAGAAGAGACAAGTGGACCTGGAGAGGGAGAGGGCTTCCCAGGAAGAGCAGATTGCCCGGAAGGAGGAGGAGCTCTCACAGGTGAAGGAAAGAGTGGTGCAGCAGGAAGTAGTCAGGTACGAGGAGGAGCCTGGCCTGAGGGCCGAGGTGAGCTCCTTCGCCGAGAGCATCGACGTGGAGCTGCGGCAGATCGACAAGCTGCGTGCGGAGCTGCGGCGGCTACAGCGCCGGCGCACCGAACTTGAGCGGCAGCTGGAGGAGTTGGAGCGAGAGCGGCAGGCCCGCAGGGAGGCTGAACGCGAGGTGCAGCGGCTGCAGCAGCGGCTGGCAGTGCTGGAGCAGGAAGAAGCTGAGGCCCTTGAGAAGGTGACCCGCAAGCAGAAGGTAGTGCTGCAGCAGGACCCGCAGCAGGCCCGCGAGCATGCCCTGCTCCGACTGCAGCTGGAGGAAGAACAGCACCGGCGGCAACTCTTGGAGGGTGAGCTCGAGACCCTGCGGAGGAAGCTGGCCGCCCTGGAGAAGGCGGAAGTCAAGGAGAAGGTGGTGTTTTCCGAGAGCGTCCAGGTGGAGAAGGGCAACACTGAGCAAGAGATCCAGAGGCTCAAGAGCAGCCTGGAGGAGGAGAGCCGCAGCAAGCGTGAGCTGGACGCCGAAGTGAGCCGGCTGGAAGCCCGGCTTTCGGAGCTGGAATTCCGTAACTCCAAGTCGTCCAAGGAACTAGACTTTCTAAGGGAAGAGAACCACAAATTACAACTAGAGCGGCAAAACCTGCAGCTAGAGACCCGAAGGCTGCAATCGGAAATTGAAATGGCAGCGACGGAAACACAAGACCTGCGGAACATGACCGTGGCAGACTCTGGGACCAATCACGACTCTAGACTGTGGTCCCTGGAGAGGGAACTGGATGACCTCAAGAGGCTCTCCAAGGACAAAGACCTCGAGATCGACGAGCTGCAGAGGCGCCTGGGCTCCGTGGCCGTCAAGCGGGAGCAGCGGGAGAACCACCTGCGGCGCTCCATCGTGGTCATCCACCCCGACACAGGCCGCGAGCTGTCCCCGGAGGAAGCCCACCGCGCCGGGCTCATTGACTGGAGCATGCTTGTGAAACTCAAAAGCCAGGAGTGTGACTGGGAGGAGATCTCAGTGAAGGGGCCCAACGGGGAGTCCTCAGTGATACACGACAGGAAATCTGGCAAGAAGTTCTCCATCGAAGAGGCCCTGCAGAGCGGCAGGTTGACCCCTGCTCAGTACGACCGTTATGTCAACAAGGATATGTCCATCCAGGAGCTGGCGGTCTTGGTGTCTGGGCAGAAGTAGGCACAGCCCTTGCAACTCTTCTTAGCGGCAGATGCTGGCCCTCTCTTACGACGCAGTGGCCTCCTTGGTGTCGTCTTCTCCCTGGCCCTGTGCAGGCCAAGCATTTTATAAACAAACACCCTCGCTGCCAGGTTGTCAAAGTCTAGCCCAAATATGGGACAGGCACTGGCTGAAGACAGGCAACTCTCATCCCAACCACCATTCACTCTGAGTGACCCACTTCATCCTCCAGTGACTGGACAAATCCGATACCCTTTTTTCCTCCCCTTTCCCGTACACTCCCAGCAACAAACTCCTCGTGATAGCTGCACACAACCTGCAAACCACTAGAGGACAAGACGACCACAGCAGCCAAGCCCACTCAAGGCAGCATGGGCACTGGCACACCAGACAGTGACACTGCCCTACAAAGGGCTAGGCCCATTGGGGCTGCTGCCCGCCATGATGTCTCTCCAGATTTCTGACTTAAAACCAACTTTCCAGCAGAGAAGCCTCCTTGGTAGTTACTCTGCTCATGAAACAGATCTGGGCTCCATGCCAGGGAAGGCAAAGAGAAATCACAAGTGTCCAGCCCTCGGTGCTAGAGTGGGCAGGAACTGTCAGCCGGACTGTCCCAGCAGCGATAGGGAACACTTCACAGTTCTGGCACTGAAATCCTCTGATAGTGGATTGTGTTGCTGTTAGCCCTGGTTTCAGTGCTTTACAAGTCTCGCTTACTATCTCGTTGGTATTTAGGTATACAAAACAGTTGATTATTCACCAAGCACATTTCTGGTTCTCTGTATCTCATGTATAACAGAAAATGGGAACAATGGGGACCTTTATTTACAGCATGAAAATAAACCTGGTGGCTGGAGTCTACTGGATGGTCAGCTCGTTTCTTCTTTTGCATGCAAGGCTTATTTCCCCCACTCCCTCTTGTCTTTCAGCCAAAATGGATATTCCATACATACCAGCTCCTACAGAAGCACCACTTGCACAGGGTAGAAAGAAAAGAGTAAAAAAATGTTTTGGAAACCTTGAAACAATTTATTGAATCGCTTTATACAAGATTAACAATCTCCACACCACCCCTAACACCAACATAGTCGCTGCACAAAAGCCACAGCCCCTCTCACACCTAAGAAACGGCCACGCCTGGTAAGTGCTCAGAGACGCTTGCTGCGCCAAGGAAACCGCTGCAGCCCCCAGACCCCGAGGCCGCTCTGCCGCGGCTTCGCCTATGGATCTGCCCTGCCATGGCTGTTCAGTCATTCGCTCTTTCATTACCACAAATAAAGCATAAACAAGAAAAAGAAATCTCAAACTCCCCATCAAAGAAACATTTCCCTGAGGCAAGAGGCGTCACTAGATTCCTAAAAATGAGGGTAATTCTGCTCCAGCTGCGCGCGCAATGGTACGTGGGGAGGAGGGAGCACCAAAGGGAAAGGAAGGAGGGGCTGGGACCCGGGTGTTCGTGGGCAGAGAAGCCTGGAGAGTCCCTGCTCAGCCTTCACTGCCGGCCTCTGCTTGGCTTTGAGCTCAGCAATACAAATCTCTTCTTTGGCTCTTTTGCTACTACCTAAGACTACTCTGTAAACAAACTGGAAATCCAAGTTGCAAAAAATATATATAACAAAGGGATAAGGAATCCACTTAGCCCAATGTGAAACACCTATCGGTTCTTATGTAAAAAAAGAGTCAGAGCAGAGGCCGGGCCAAAGGGTGGACAGAGGTCTTGCTCCTTGGGAAACCGTGAAGACAGCAAACCTCTGCATGAAGGATGAGTTACTGAGCACTGTACCCTGGGAATCAGAGGCCAAGAGCGGTCTGTTTTCCCACAGTATGTGCTGAGGATGCTGTATACTCTCAATGTGCCTGAGATCACCTACCTGGAGCAATCAGTTCGGACTCACATTGTGGCACACACCTCACAGGACAGGCAAGTGCCCTCAAACCCTTGTGAAACAGCCACTGGTTGAGTGGTGACTAAGGAGCTCTGCAGTAACTGTTCTAGTCTCTGATCTACTCTCCAAGCTCTTCTGCACAGCACCCTTAGGTCGACACGTAACCCCACTGACTGGAGAGCCCCAGGACTTCCAGGCCTATCTCTGCCTGGCAGACACTTCACAGAGGCCTGTTTCTGCAGATCTACCTAGATCTGATTCCTAAGACAACAAACTGGAATGTCTATCTGTGACTTGGGACCCCTGGTATCCTTGGCCTTCAGAGAGACGAAGGGCTTTGGGCTCTGCAGTCCAACTGCATGAACTGTGGAAAATGGGAGCCCTGGCTACACTGGGACTTGGCATTTGGGGGTCCAGACAGCCTTCTAGTCAGGACGGCACAGATAATGATGTCCAAGTGTAAAAAACTCAATTAAATAAAACTGGCTATGTCTTGAATACAGACAGATCTTTAAAAAGGTCATCTCAGATACACTCAGGGCTGAATGGACATGTGTTGTCAAATTCTGCTCCACCATAAAGGCACTGGAATTATGACTTCCTATAATATGATGTGTGAAGAACAGTCCCCTTCTATCCAATGCATTTAATGGTAATGATGAAAACTGAGCCCAAAATAGGTGTCTGTAAAAATCCTATCACAATTGTTGAATCTACAAAGATCTTTTCTCTAAAAGAGCTTCATTGTCATGTTCCGAGGAGAAACTGGCCCCCACAGTGAGCACACCTTCGGTGTTCTTAGTATTTTGCAGGGACAACATAGGTCTCCCAGCTGTGGCTCTGGCCTGGGTTTTGTCCTCTTGAGTACACAGCCTGGAGATGGAACGGCACTGTGACCATCCAGGGAGCTTACTGTGGCCAAAATGAGCCCCTGGGCAGTGGGACGCTCTAAGGTACTCTGACCAGATGCCAGGGGGTCAGGCAGAATCACACGCAGATGTGCCAACTGCTCTGCCACCAGAGCCTGTAAACACCGTGCCTCCTGCACAGCCCAACACACGCCCCAGCCTAGAGCTGCCCCTCCAACACCGTCCAGCAACAGAGCCGCAAGGCGCAGAGCATGGGGAACTATGCGCCTCCTCAGCAGCAAGGGGACAGCTCCCTCCATGGGAGGCATGTCAGAAGTGCCAAGAAGCGCTCCACTGAGAACTCACGCTCCTCCAGAAGAACACCAAGCAGCAGAAAGGGCGCAGTGAGTGTCCATCCTGGGAGACCTGCATATTCTGATTCCACCCAGTCCCAAGTGGCAAGCCTTGCCTCTGAAGCGGTCATAATTTCCGTGGTACAGCAGGCCCTTTCCCATGAAGCTGAGAAGCACCTGGAAAAGAGTAAGAAAAATCAGAACACAAGTTTTTAGGTTCTCTGATTCCCTTAAGGCAGTGGTAACCAAACTTCAAGGAGACCACCTAAATAGCAGAAGTCCCCAAATACTGAGTGTTCCAGGGCTCACCATGAGACATCAGCCAGTGGTTAGCCGTGTCCACTGCTCCTGGCCACAGCCTGCAAGCACACTAGCACTGTGAGGGTCAGTGGCCATTCAGCACAGTAATCCCAGAATAGCGACTGTGCTATGCAACTTGGATTACTTCATCTCAGGCTACAATTGCCATCCCAAGGTGAAGTCTGACACTGACAATCACACAGAACTCAAAGCAGCAATGATCATTCATTCTCTTACCATCAAAAGACACAGGTCCTATAAAGACAATTTTAAAGGCACTAGCATTCTCGGTCCACAGAGGAAAGGAAAGCAATGCAGACAGAAGTCACACAGCTGAAACGCGCAAATACCTTCTCACTCCCATCTCGTGTCCTCCTATATGCTGAAGTACATCTAAGGCAGTGAGAGCAGCTCACTTGGATAACCCTGTTTTGGCATAGTTGCTTTTCTGATTGCCATTTTTCCCCTCCGAACTTTTAAATTGATGTAAAAAAAATGTTGGGGTCGGGGGACAGAATTTTGCTCTTGTTGCCCAGGCTGGAGTGCAAAGGCAAGATCTCTGCTCACAAGCTCCACCTCCCAGGTTCAAGCAATTCTCCTGCCTCAGCCACCCAAGTAGCTGGAATTACAGGCATGCACCACCCCGCCTGGCTAATTTTGTATTTTCAGTAGAAATGGGGTTTCTCCATGTTGGTCAGGCTGGTGGTCTCAAACTCCTGACCTCAGATGATCCACCCGCCCTGGCCTCCCAAAGTGCTGGGATTACAGGTGTAAGCCAACATACCCAGCTGAAAATTTTTTCTTAAGAGATGAGGTCTCACTATGTTGCCCAGGTTGGAGTACAGCAGCTATTCACAGGCGTGACCACAGCTACTATACCCTCTAATTTCTGGGTTCAAATGATCCTCCTGCCTCCCAATGCCATCATGTCCAGCCTCTGATACCCTCAAAAAGTTTTACAAACTGACACATAATAGTACGTATTTTATGGGGTACATAGTGATGTTATGACACCCGCAATTTGTAGTGATCAGATTAGGATAAATAGCATATCCATCATCTCAAACATGTATCATCTCTTTGTGTTGGGGACATTCAGTATCCTCTTCCCAGCTATTTGAAACTACACACTACTGTTAACCACAGTCACCCTACAGTGGTACAGAACACTAGCACTTATTCTTCCTATTCTGATAGCTTTTTCCATACCCAGAGGAAAAATGAAAACAGCAGAAAGCAATCTTTTTTTTTTTTTTTTTTTGAGACAGGGTCTCACTCTTGCCCAGGCCAGAGTACAGTAGCATGACCACGGTTTGCTGCAGCCTCGACCTCCTGGGCTCAAGTGATCCTTCTGCTTCAGCCTCCTGAGGAGCTGGGACTACAGGCACATGCCACCACACCCGGCTAATTTTCTTCTTTTAATGTAGAAATGTGGTCTTGTCATGTTGCCCAGGCTGGTCTGGAACTCCTGGACTCAGGCAATTCTCCTGCCTTGGCCTCCCGAAGTGCTGGGTTTACAGGTGCAAGCCACTGCAGCCAGCCCCAATCACTCTGCTTTTCTGAGAGAGATGTTCCTGGGGGCAAGCAGAGGCAGAGCAGCCTGACACTGAAAAGACCCCTGCTCTCACCGACGTGGCTCTGCAGCCTCTGGTTTGTAGAAGAAGTCACCGCATTTTACTGCTCCTCCCAAGGAAAGGAGTCACGAGTGTTGTAGGCTTAGCCCCTCAAAGAAGCAAAATTTCCATCGTGGAGATTTACAAATCCACTCTTGCCCCATATGGCCTGTTGTATTCACTATAAATGCCACGGTGCCAGGGACCCACAGCACATCATGAAGCAGACATTAACCTGAGAGACGTGCAGCACAGGGGGTCCTTACTCCCACCTGGCACCAGTTCACCAGGGTTATCTCAGCTGGCTTCCGTAAGAGTGGCTCCCCTTATTCAAGCAGCACCCTGGTCATGTCTGAAGCTGGTCTACAGCAGGAAGAACACTAGGTCAAAGCCAAGATACCATGAGACTTCCCAGACCAGAAGTCTAAGAGGCATACCCAAGAATCGAGAACTCAGGACAGAGTGAGACAGATACACCCAGTGCAAAGGTGCCAGCCCTCTTCTCGGTGCGACCAAACCAGCCTCAAGCCTGGGGCTTTTACAGACTCCCTATTTCAGAAGGCGCTGTTCTACAGGGAGCACTGGCCACCTGTGTGGTGTGCTCCCACATCTGTTTTGATGGAGTTTTTATACCTGGACAGATTTAAAGCTGCTCCTCTCAAAGTCCTGCACTGTGGCCTCTGGCTGCTACTTGGATTTTCCCTTTAATGGAAACAAAGTTTAGAGAGCCTTCTGTTAAGCAATCGTATCTGGAAAGTGGAGCAGCTTGCATTTCAAGGCCTTGTTGTACCTAATTAGCCCTTGGAGAAGATGCACCATTACATTTTTTTGGGGGAGATGGAGTGTTGCTCTGTCACCAGGCTGGAGTGCAGTGGCACAATCTCAGCTCACTGCAACCTCCGCCTCCCGGGTTCAAGCAATTCCCCTGCCTCCCGAGTAGCTGGGATTACAGGCATGTGCCACCACACTCGGCTAGTTTTTTATATTTTAGTAGAGACGGGGGTTTCACCACGTCGGCCAGGATGGTCTCGATCTCCTGACCTTGTGATCCACCCGCCTCGGCCTCCCAAAGCGCTGGGATTACAGTTGTGAGCCACCGCACCCGGACCATTAACCTTTTAATAACTGAAGAGAAAAAAACTGAGCTGAGGGTTAGGAGCTCCTCCGCTGCACACAAAGCTCTCCCCCCGCAACTTTCCCCGTGATCACACAGGCTGAGGCTGACCCAGCGGCAGCTCCAAGGGGGGACCAGAGGAAACCTCAAGAGAAGCATGTGTTACCTTAAGTACTAACAAAGCACAGCCTCAAAGGACAAACCAAAACAACAGCGACAAGGCAAAGACACCAAGACCCTTGGCAGTGGCACAGCACCTAAGGGCAGAGAGGGCGAAGGAACACAGTGCGCGTGGCACACTGATCATCGGGCGATTACCTGGCAGACTCTGCGGGATATGGGTGGGCACAGCAGCGTGTGGGAGAGGCGCTGCATGGGGTGGGCTGGAGTGCAAGCCAGCCAGAAGACCTGAGAGAAAACAGGAGGGGAGAAAAGAACAAAACACACACATTGAAGACAGGAACAGAAAAGCAGCTCCAGCAGCCAAGAGCCCCCGACAACCTACCAGGCCAATCTGGGCACCACACCCAAAAGGGCAGGGCCTCGGCACTGTTCCCCGAGATGTTCCCCACAGTTGCACACCAGACTCAAACACAGGAACCAGAGTACACAACAGCAGGAGCCTAGACAGCCTAGAGGTTTCCAAGCAACGAGAGGCAGCAAAGAAGCACTTACTGTGGCCAAGGCCATGGTGGAAGGGCCCGGGGGCAGGGCCTGTGACGATGGCATCCTTGGAGACCCCTGCTTTGGCAGAGGAGTCGGTGCTGAAGGAGAGCACGTGGACAGGAATCGGGACGGGGGTTATAATTCCCAGGGAGTTCGAGCTCATGGGCCCAGACAGCTTTGGGCTGCTGGACTTGTAGGGTGAAGGCATCAAAGAGGAGCTGGCCAGCAGCAGAGTCCCACCCGCTCCTTTCTAAGGAAGAAACACAGCAAGCAGTAAGAACTCCAGTCCTGTTCCCAGCTGACTCACACCAAACCTGGGAGCACAAAGGAGGACACACAAATGCAGGTCAGATGGCCTTGGGAGGCACCCTCTGACCCTCAGCCCTAAAGACAGGTCCCAGGACAGTCTTTATAAGCAAACATGGAATGGATTCCAGGGAACCAAATTTTTTAAAAAGCAGGATCTTAAATACATCTCCTACAGAGTTTGCAGTGAGCTGTGATCGCACCACTGCAGTCCAGCCTAGGAGACAAAGCCAGACTCTGTCTCAAAAAAATGAACAAATATGTCTCCTTGGTGAAGGGAAAAATATTGTCAGATATCTACAAATGTTCAGGTATATTTATACATGTGTAAATAAAATATATTTACATACAGACATACATACATACATCTATATGTATTTATTAATCTTTCATTTAAAAAGAAAGAGGAAAATAAACCAGACACTAAGGAGCATAGTTACCTGATAGGGGTGGTGGATGCAGGGAAGAGGGAAGTGAGACCTCCAACAGACCTTTCTATGGTTTTGTCTTTTCAACCACATAATTTATAAATTACAAATAGAAAAAAAATGCCCTCTTCCTGAACCTGCTGTAATTACACATAAGCAGGATGCATTAATTATTGGACTCAGTCCTTCTAAAACCAGCAGAATAACTCTTAGAGGGTACTGCTATTCCTGGGCCATGAACACCTCCACGTGACTACAAACTAACAGGGGGACAGCACTTCCGCCCCTGCTTGTTTGCAGAGATGGAGAGGCAAGGGGTCACAGAAGGCAAGTGCTGTGGCTCATTCTGTGCCACACACAGACCTAGCCTCTGAAAGGCATGATGCTGGCCGTCCTTTCGCTCCCTTCACCCTCCTCAGAAGAAGGTTTAGGCCATCCTCGGCCTCCAGGATGGAAGCACCAGAAAAGCAAATGCCTGAGAGCAGGAAGCCGAGTCTCCCATCCTCCATCTGGGCCCACTGTTCCTACCCGACCTGTGGTTTCAGATCTCACACTGCACCAGGGGCAAGGCAAGAACCTCATCCCCCAAGGCCCCTGCAAGTGGGGCAGGGCAGGCTGCTATGCCGGATACTCACTGGCAAGGAGGTAGACGATGTCACACTAACTGCAGGGGGCTTTACGGACGAGGTCAGCAACTTTGCCACTCCCTGGGTCCCACCACCGGAATCTCCGTTTGGACCACCTGGAGGGGCTACCAGGGTCAACTTCTGGGAAACAGGCATCTTTTTCCCTGTTGAGCTTGGGACGGGTCGGCTGGTGGCCTGTCCCACGGAGGGAGGCTGTATGCCAGGGAGCAGGTTCCCAGAAGCAGAACCCTGGACCGGTGTTCCTCCTGACGAAGAGCTGCCAGAGGAAACCCCATGTTTGGAGACAGAGCTGGCAAAGGGATTATTCTTGTAAGATGAGCCTGCAGAGCTGGCTGAATGTGGCTTTGCTGGATGGCTCAGGGCAGAAGAGGACGAGGCTGGGGTCTTATGAGAGCTGCTGCTGGAGGCTGGCAGGCCTCCTGAGGTGGCTGGTGCGGAGGGATGGAAACCCTGGCCTTTGGCCGCTGTCTTCACTAGCTGCAGGAGGGAACGATGACACTGTGGGGGAGAAGCCTTTGGGCCTTGGAGCTTATTGGCAAATGGAGATTGGGGTGTGAAGTTTTTCTGCTGCTGAGTGCCGGCATGAAAGACTTTTACCTGGGGGCCGGGCAAGGGAACTGCCCCCTGGGGACCATGAGACGTCCGTGGCAAGCTGTGGTGCTTTGCTTTGGACTGGTGTACTTCTGGCAAGCCCTTATTGAGGGAAGCCTGGCAGGACAGCTCTTTGTAGCCAGAACTCTCTGGTTTTTTCTCCTGAGAGGACTGTCCCAGTGCCAGAGCCTGTTCTGCCAGAAAATTGAGGGGTGACTGCAGAGAGCTAGCTGGTGGTAGAGCAGAAGGGTTAGGCTTTGCAAAGTTCCTTTTTTCCTCTGTACATAAAACACCTCCAACCTTTTCTGCAGGTGCTTTTGAGGGTACAGGCAGTGTGAATTCAGAGTTCCCAGCTGCTCTGCTATTCAATGCAGCCAATTCCTTGGACACGGCTTCCACAGAGGAGGCTGGATTACGGATCAAGTCTTCATCCAACGAGTCCTCCAGGGTGACAGAAGAAGGGTTAGCAAGGCCACCCGATGCCTGGGATGGGAGCTCCCTACTTGAGGCCCCAGTGCTCAGGCTTCCTGTCTGGTGATCTGAGGGCAAAGCAATGGGGCCGCCAATCTGTCCTGATGGGACAGAAACCTTTTTATCAGGCTTCACAGACGATTCCTAAAGGAAAACAGAAATGTTGGTGTTTAGAAAGGTTCAAAGATGCCAACACTGGCCTGTTGTGAGGAAACAAACATGTGAACTCAAGTCGCAAAAAACTGGGACTTCCTGTATACTTACAAACAAGTGGTGGGAGAGCAGAGGCTACGCCCACCTTGACTTTAGATGCCATGACTTCAACACCCCCTGGTATCTGGGTGGCCAGAGCCGGGTTTACCCTGGCATACGTCGTTACTAAGAACAAATACACCACCAAGAGAAATTTTTTTGTTTTGAAAAGTGCAAGACTCTCATGAAGAGACACTCTGCCTACTGGCATTCCCGCTGTCTCGGCGTGCTCCTAGCTGCAATCAGACCAAGGCACGGCGTAAGAACTGCCCGACAGCAGCTCTGTTTTCCTCCCGGATCTTTCCCAGCACCTATCTCCTAAGAATGGATTCAAAGAAGAGGGCTTTTTTTTATGGGAAAAGGAGCTGGGTCTAATCCTTCACTCCTGCAGCCCTGGTGCTTAATACAGTGTCTGAGACACTGTGAAAGCTCAACACATACTCAGGAGTAAATGACCTGCACATCTCATTCTCATGGTCTGCTTAGGGATAGCTAAGGACACCACACTAAGAACTGGCAAAAATGTTGATAAACAGCAATTTTTACTACACTGAAAGGTTTCTACAACATCTAAGTGTCTGTTCTTCAGCCACTGCACTGCCCTCCATTTCTGCCTGGTAACTCAACAAAGTCACCTTTCCTTTCTGCTGTGGCTCCAAGCTAAACTGCACTTGGCTAGAGTATATTTCTTTCCATACAAAGATCATCACAGTGTAATAATACATTCACACCTGCAGGAGCTCTTGACTCCTCAGAGGGCTGCCAAGAAGATCCCATTTAATCCCGCAAGAACCCCAGGAACTGGGCCAGCTGCATACTGTTTGGAGAACCAAGGCTAGAGGGGGGGTTAAGTGGCTCCGGTCTCTGTCCTGGTGGACTGTAAGAATGCCATCCTGAATAGCTGTCCCCAGACCAACAAAGCTCAATGAGCTTCCACAGACACTTGAGAGATTTCCAGAGCACAGTTGCAGGGAGATGAGCATAGCCGACCCATGATCTGAGCAGGATGACTCACCTTCACCTTGATTTTAGAAGGGGCCATAACTTTCTTCTTGGCTCTGTTCAAAGGAAAGAGCACAGAAAAGGTTTAAAGGATATCCATAGGAGACCAAAACAACATTTACCCCGAGACGTGAAAACACCAAGATACTCACAGTATTGAAGTCAGGTGCCCATGGCCTCGTCTGCTCTCCTTGAACAGAGTCCTGAAAGACACAGAACACTGGGCATCTGTACATGCCCTAGAAAGCTGGGACTCTGCTTCCAGAGCTTTGCCAGTGTTCCTGGAATTCAGTGGCTATCCCTCATTAAATGTCAATCAGCTGGGCATGGTGGCTCATGTCTGTAATCCCAGCACTTTGGGAGGCTAAGGCAGGTGGATCACCTAAGGTCAGGAGTTCGAGACCAGCCTGGCCAATATACTGAAACTCCATCTCTACTAAAAATATAAAAAGTAGCCAGGTATGGTGACGCCTGTAGTCCCAGCTACTGAGCAGGTTGAGGCAGGAGAGCGCTTGAACCCGGGAGGCAGAGGTTGCAGTGAGCTGAGATCGTACCACTGTACTCCAGTCTGCGCAACAGAGCAAGACTTTGACCACCCCCTCCACAAAAAAAGGTCAATCAATTGGCGAGCCACATTCCTGGTAAGAGGATCACAATGGGCCACATTGGCTGCCCAAAGGCTGAGTCTGGTTTTTACCAAGAAAGTGTACGGCTCTGCCCCAAACCTCCCATGGTGATGCTTCCCTAAAGGTCAAGCACTTTCCTTACTGCCTATGCCTTCCCTTCCAAGCATAAAACATGGAGTGACCCAGCATGTCTTTGTCCTGAAAAACTTAACAAAAATTTTCTTTATCTGAGTTCAGCCTATGTGGAGAGGATAGCGATTTCAAAGGTTCAAAGATCTGTCAGCACAACGGATGATTTGGGCCCAATCCAGAAAATCACTCCAGATAACTTTCTCTGTCCCATGTATGACAGAAGTACTTCATTCACAGGAAGCAACTTCATACAAGGTAGCCTCTGAGATAGAAACCTGGCATTTACTTCCAATAAGGAAGCATCCCTGCTACCTTGCAAATGAGACTTCTTCAGAACATCAAGAAAGACCCAAGAAGAACCCACCTCTCAAATGCTCACGGGAGCCCGTATGTTAAAACAGGAAAGTGCTACTGAGATGAGAGGCCAAACCTCAACTGAAGTGGGACAAGAAATAACAAAGACAAAACCCCACAGGCAACTTCCCTTCCTCCAGGGAGAACCCAGAAGACCCTTTCCCAGCTAACTGCATGTCCCCCAGTTACTCAGGTGAGATCAGAGTTGAGGCAACTAGACAGTGACTCCCTGCAGGCAGGGATCCTGCTGGCCTGGCACAAAAGCAGCATTCAAACATGTCTTGACTGCACAGATGCCCGATCTCAGCACACAGCCCTCACCTGGCCTGCATCCAGCCTTTGGGCCAGAGGGGCTTGACTTCCGAGTCCAGAAAGGCCTTCACGCAGTCCTCCCAAGCCTGGGCTTTGTTGTTCCTCTCCAGGTCGTGGCTCTCCAGTTTGATCTTCACCACCTGGCACAGCAGCTCCCTGAGAAGGAGGCAGAAATCATAAACCCCAAACTACTCCAGATGTTTCTTCAAGGTTCCAATCATGTGCTTTCAGCAGCCCTGATGAAAGCAAACGAGCCTAACCTTTGTCAGCAATAGGGGACATGCTCAGACACTGCCCCACCAACCCTCCAGAGAGGCCAAGTCCCAATGCGGGCACACCTGATCTCATCATTCCACTGGAACTTCTTCCGGGGTCCCATTATCCTCCTGCCCGCCTTTTCTTCATCTTCTTCGTCATCTGAACAAATCCGGTCCCTCTGCTCCTTGTCTTTCTCCTCTTCCAGCATCCTATGGGGTGAACGGAACTACATGGGGCCCCAAGGTGCTCCTGCCCACCACCTCTCCCCTCACCCTCTGCACAACTGGGACTTCACGGAGAATGAGAAAAGGGCAAAGAAGAGCTAAGAGGCTCCTTTGGAAACGGCAGTACATACTGAGAAACAGGAGGGCAAGAGGCAAGATGGGAGGGTCACGCCACCAAAGTGCCAGGACACACTTACTTGGCGACCTTTGCCTGCGTGTGTGCCTGGCATTCATCCTGGTACTTGGCCATCTGTTCCGGCATTGCCCTGCCAATGGCTTCCTTCAGCTTCTGGAGAGGCTCCTTCAGACGCCCCCCCTGCGGAGGGCATGACACAATTCAAGGTAGGTTTACACATGGCCCTTACACTTGGGATGCAAGACGGGGTGATCACAAGGAGGCAGTGGGGCAGCAGATGTGGCATCGATGAAGATTCAGTCACCCCCCACCAGGCCCCACAGCTAAAGGGCTTCACATCAGTCACCCACCTGTTCATAGAGGTGAAGTTTCCGAGCACGCTTGAGCAGGGCATCCTTGCTGCAGGGCAGGAACGATGAGAGATAGGCATACACCCCAGAGCGGACCTGACTGCACAACTCCCGAGTCTGCGCCTCTATGCTGAAGAAGAGAACACAGTCACCACTGGCTGCAGCTCGCTGCAACTCCCGTCTTCATCGGCTCCCCGTATGTGCAGAGGAAAGTTAGCAGCCAAAGGCAGGTCAGATCCTGTCTTGTAGGTCACACAATGTAACTGAGGGCCCACAGAAACAGATCTTCAGCAATCAACAAACAAGAACAACTCCCAACCTGATGAACACAGCTAAGTAATGTGGGTCAAGGCTCAGGTCAAAAACAAGATCAGGAAAACAGAGCCCAGAAGAACAAGCTCTGAAGCACTAAATTTCATAGAGAAAACATAAAGCTTTCAAAGTAGAAAGTCATGAGTTACTTGGGGCTGACAGGAAACACTTCCCAGCAGCATTTCTTTATTTTACCCCCTAGTTCCCAGTTCTAGCAACCATTATGTTAGGGAAAGCCCCACCCCTCCAGTTTCTCCATCTAAATAAGCAAAAAAAAAAAAAAAAAAAATTCTCTTCAATGCCTTGAGCTGTCCATATTTTGCACACTCAAGCAGGTTCCTTGTTTACACAACCCTCTTATCGAAGCCAATGCTCAGGTATTCTCTGCAGCCTACACTTCCTGACCCAAGAGGCCGATCCAGGTCCTGGCCAGGAAAGGCCATTTGCTAAAACACACCCACATACTGACAACTCGTCTTACATACACAACCTCCTCAGCTGTTGAGCACAAGCTTCTCCTGCCACAAACTGCAACCAGGAGAAAAGCTGCAACACTGCAGGCCAGGCCACAAGCATTTGCTTTTCTCAGTCTGGATTTATAGACCTTTGCTCTTCTGCTTTTTAGCCCAATTCATACAGTGTGGTGTCTCAGAGGCTCAGGAGTATGGGAACGGCGTTACAGGATGATGCACGTGGCACTAGGATCAGGAGTATGAGCGAGAGGGGACCGGCCAGGGACGCCAGGCAACACCTGAGGCAGAGCACGTCCCTGAGGCCACCAGGCGCTCTCTCATTCTTCACAATTCTGAGAGACAGGAAAGCAACACCTTCTCTCTCTCCCCTCATCTTGTACTGCCAAGAAATGCTCTTCTAACAGGCCATGATTATCATATGCTATTAATGCCTGCTGCCCAAGATCAAGAAGGTCTATGGCTTCTGGAGACAAGTACTTGGTGTCCCTGTTGTGTTTCTTTTTTTTATGTTAATCTCATTCGTGGTCACTTTTACGCAGTTCAATTGTACTCCCATTCTCCCCTGGCTGGCTCACCCCAAGCGCAGTAATAGCAGAAACAGACAGACAGACAGACAGAAGATACTCACTCTAATAGGATTCCATTAATATCCTGGGTGAAGAACTTCTGTCTGCTCTCCCCCTCAGCAGCTCTGGCAGCCTGGTGCACAGCAGACAGTAACAGCCGTTAGTGCACTTTCCCCACATGTCCCTCAAGCTCACCCACAGGCACAGGAGTCATCGCTCCATAAACAATCACACTGCCACCTTTCAACTCCACCCTAGTCCCGGGTTAACTTCGCCTGTCATCAATATGCTCTCTTCAAACGATGCTGCAGCATCTGTGGGCTGCTAGTTCTCCTCAGGACTTAAAACAGTCACAGAAAAGAAAATCACAGAGTCAAAGCAATTATGATGCACTTTGTCGGAGGCCAATACGGCCAACTAATCGGTGTCCATATGCTATCAACTACACCATTAGTTGGGATTTCCATGTATCTACAGTACTAAAGAATCAAAACTTCCAACAGCCTATAGGATTTAAAGGCCTTTTATCTACAAAATAATAATAATCTCCTCTGGCACTTAAGGACATTAACACTCTTTGAAAATTCCTAATCTACTTACGGTATACAACAAGCTCTCTCTCATCCAGACCCTGTGTGTGTAACTAACCCAGCATACCACCTAATTAACACAAGGTTATAGGAATTTCGGAACGGCCTTAGTTTACCTTCCCAAATAACGCAGTTAACACACACCCTGGATGGCAAGCTCAGAGACTCCTGAAGCAACCATGGCAAGCAGCCAAAACACTGAGAGAAGACAAAACAGCAGACCCTGCAGAAGTTTGCAGTAGGGGTTCTCACACTTGTTGCATACCGAAATTCCTGGGCAGCTTGGACCAACTCAGGCCACTCAAATCATAATCTCTGGAAAGAAGACTCAGAAATGTGCACTCTCTAAAAGTGGCTCAAGTACTCTTTCAAAGCAACCGGGCTGACACTGATGTGAAAAGAGGGCTGGGAACCACTCATCTAAACCCAAGAGCTGCTGGTTTGAAGGCTTTGGGTGAAATAAGATTTCTGAAATCAGACGAGATATAATAATGACAGCAAACAAGGGTGATAAGGTGACTATCTAGAACGAAGGGATCAACCCGTCTGAAACTGCAGACACTGCTAACCCCTCCACCATCATCTCCCCAACTCATCTCCTCTCACTGCATCCTCTGGGGTCCCTTCCAACCATTCAAACTTCATCTGCCTCCTCCACCAGCTCCTTTCCATAAGTGGACCCCAGGATTCTCAATAGAACCCACTTCTCCCAATACCTTCTTCCCCCTCAGGGCTTCAAAATAACACAGACAACTATACCCTCAAATCTAAACTAAGCCCTAAACCCTCTCATCTAAGCTCTGGACCAGAATTTCCAATTACCTCTGAGTAATTTCCAATTACAGTCAACGCCGGGTATTGGTTATAGGACCCCCGCATATACCAAAATCCAAGTGCAAAGTCAGCCCTGAGGAACCTGCCTATACAAAAAGTTGACCATCTATACCCAGTTTTAGCATGCCTCGAATCAGCCTGCTTTTGGTTAGAAAAACTGCGTGTATGTGCACGCACGCAGTCCAACCCTGTGCTGTTAAGGGTCAACTGCCCTTCTGAGGATGGATGACCTTCTGGTTTGCAAACTCATCTTACACCAGACCTACTAGCTTCTGCTCTTCTGCCTGTGCTCCCCACTTCTCATAATCACTCCAACCTTAAGACCGTCCACTCCTTTCTTCAGAACCCTTCAGCAGCTCTTCCCAAGCCTAGACTCAAACCGAAACTCCTTCACATGGCATTCGGGGTCCTCCACAGTCTGGCCCAGCCATCCACCAAGTGGCCCATCTTCAGCTCTGCTCCCTGCCGTCTCTTAGGCATCTTCCCCAGGAGGCTGGCCAAGTCTGTTGCCTCCAGTCCACTTCCTATATGCTCCCGTCAGCGCCTCTCTTTTAAGAGGCTATTTATAGCCGTCTAGACATCACAGAGCTTACTTCATTCTGCTCTGTCCTACAGTCCACTGTCTGCCTATCTATCAGTCCTTTTATGTAACCAGCTCATGGAAGATAACAATGGAACCTTGGCCGGGAGCGGTGGCTCACACCTGTAATCCTAACACTTTAGGAGGCACAGGTGGGCAGATCACCTGAGCTCAGAGGTTGAGAACAGCCTGGGCAACATGGCAAGACCCTGTCTCTACTAAAAATACAAACGAAAAAAAAAGCTGGACATGGTGGTGCACGCCTGTGGTCCCAGCTACTCTGGAGGCTGAGATGGGAGGATCACTTGAGCCCTGGGCACGGAGGTTGCAGTGAGCCAAGATCATGTCACTGCACTCCAGCCTGGGTGACAAGAGTGAGATCCTGTCTTAAAAAAAAAGAAATGAGGGCTGGGCGCGGTGGCTCAAGCCTGTAATCCCAGCACTTTGGGAGGCCGAGGCGGGTGGATCACGAGGTCAACAGATTGAGACCATCCTGGTCAACATGGTGAAACCCCGTCTCTACTCAAAATACAAAAAAATTAGCTGGGCATGGTGGCGCACGCCTGTAATCCCAGCTACTCGGGAGGCTGAGGCAGGAGAATTGCCTGAACCCAGGAGGCAGAGGTTGCGGTGAGCCGAGATCGCACCATTGCACTCCAGCCTGGGTAACAAGAGCGAAACTCCGTCTCAAAAAAAAAAAAAAGAAATGAATCTTATACATCAATATATTTCCCACAGCTGCCTGTCACATAATATTTACTAAACATTGACTGAGTGAATGAATGAACCAATGAACAGGACTCCTGTAAGAAGGCACACCAGAGGAAGAAAAGCTTAACATCAACAACCAAAACTAAGCTGGAAGAAAATATGCAAAACTCAAGCTTCTAAAGATCCTTTGACTAGCGTAAAGCCCAGAGGGGAGAAATTAACAGAAGGATAATGACAAAAAGGGCATGACTTTTCAACCAGCTATATGCCCATTTCTTACACTCTTGGAAGCATTCAGAATTCTATCTTGGCACTTGGAAGGTACTGGAATTATATTAGTCTGAGAAAAAAAAATAATTTTTTTTTTTGCTTAAGATTATGCTGCTAGTTATAAGATCCAGAAGCACCCTCACATTAATTCAAACTAAGTAACAAGTATTTCAAATGCCACACTGTCAGACCCATCAAGAGCTTAAATTTCCAATCAAATTTTATCTCATTTTATTGAGATGGTCTCACTCTGTCACCCAGACTGGAGTACAGTGGTGTGATCATAGCTCACTGCAGCCTTGACCTCCTTGGCTCAAACAATCCTCCAGCCTCAGCCTCCCAAGCAGCTGGGACTACAGGAGCACACAACCACGCCTGGCTAATTTTTAGATTTCTTTTCTCACTATTTTACCCATGCTGGTCTCAAACTCCTGGGCTCAAGTGATCCTCCCACCGTGGCCTCCCAAAGTACTGCAATTACAGGCATGAGCCACCTTGCCTAGCCAAATTTTCTATTTAGATAGCCATTTGTACAATATTTCAGAAGTTTTCTATGTAATCTTTATGCAATCTTATTTTAAATATTATGTCATTAAAAAAATATTTTTCTGAAATCTTTTTAACTGCATAGACGGTATCTCGAAGGGTCTGGTTTTATATACTGAAGACAGTGTACTGTGGCGTTTTAAAGTAAATCTAATTAAAAGATCAACTGAATATATATCTGACAGTCTTCCAAAAATAAGTGAGGTCCCTCACCCCTAAAAAGAGACACTCTTACCCCAGAAGTTGTGTAAATTAATCCTAAGTTAACTAGGAAATGAAGTTAAACACCCCAACATGCTGACTCATACAGTTCCAACAACCTTTTAATGAGCTGTTTTATTTATTATAAGAAAAGCCACTTGTAGCCTTTTGACAGCCAGCTCAAAATCTTAAATACTGTATCTGTTTTTGCTGACCAACAGAAGAAAGTCTGGCATGTTTTGTTTTTTTTTTTAAGAAGATCAAACAAGTTTTTGTTTTTTTGTTTTCCTACCTTATTCTCTTTGGAGCCATCTCTCCCTGGACTTCCTGTGATGAGGGGTTCTAATTCTATAGGAGAGCAGACTAGAGGGGTAGATGACATGGGGTCTCTTTCATTCCTGCTCTTAGTATTGTCTCTATGTTATGCTTGACTGAAGAGGACCAAAATAGACTTGGGTTATTTGTATAGCCCGAGGCTGAATAGCTGCCAAACCACCTCAAGAGAGTAACCCAAAGGGACATCAAACCTGAGCTTTCTCAGCACCTGTACCTGCCAACGACCAAGATAGAAGACACCATCAATGCATACTGAGAGGACAGGATAAGGCCATCAAATCACTGGATTCATGGGAGCCTATACAAATGTATAATACAAATCAGTAAGAAACAAAAAACAAGCTAATCTGAGAACATAGTGAATGTTGGCAGAGGCATCCCCAAGGTTCCCTCTCAGAGGACCTCTTTAACATACACAAGTTTTCAAAGGTATTTCTTAAAGTTTTAAGCACCATATTTAGTTAGAAGATATATCTAACTTTGCTTCCCACAAAGAAAGTGTTTTTCCCCTAAGGGATCAACACACATGGGATGAGAATCTGCTATGCACTGCAGTAGAATGCAAAATAGGATCACAGGCGAGGCGCAGTGGCTCATAGCTACAATCCGTTACTCAGGAGGCTGAGGCACGAGAATCACTGGAACCCGGAAGGCAGGCGTGGAGGCTGCAGTGAGCTGAGATCACACACTGCACTACTCAAGCCTGAATGACGGAGTGAGACTGTCTCAAAAAAAAAAAAAAAAAACAGATTCTTCCCACAAAGAAATCCTACTCCCCAAGAGGTGCACCCTAGCTCCCTAATCCTTGGATCTGCATGGCTCTTGTGATTCATTCTGACCAAAAGTGTGGTGGAAGTCATGTGATACAGCCTCTAAGGCTAGATCTCAAGGGACCTGCGGCTTCTACCTCTGTACTCTTGAAATGCTGCCCTGAGACCACCATGCCCTGAAGAAGGCCAGGATGAAAGACCAGGAAAGAAAAGCCCTGCCAGCACCTGGCCAACGTGCCAGCTGAATGCAGCCGCCAGCATGGGTCCAGAGTTAGGAGAAACAAACTGCTGTGATAAGGCAAATTTTGGGGGCAGTTTTGTAGCCAGTGACAGAAACTGATTCATGGGTCATCTAGGACCAAGATGTAAAGTGCAACTAATCTTATAATAAAAATAAAGGAAAAGGTGGGGAAAAATTAGGGGTATAAAAAATAAAGTGAGAAAAACATAACACAGCTAATGTTTCAGTTATATACACCACGTTTAATTTAAACTTTAAAAATGTGATGTCCATTTCAAGATCTAGGATGGACTCCTTATTAAGGACCCAAATATCCACATGTGGCTGTTGGAATCATATGCAATTTATGTGTACCCGTGCATTCTTTCCCTGGGAAGCCTGTCTTTCGCAGCAGATTCTCAGTGGGGTCAGGGGTCCAGAGCACTTGCACACACATGCAGGGACTCCAAGTACCCCAAGTGCAGGGTCCTGCCACAACAGAGCACCTGAGGACCCTGTGGAGTAGCATTAAGCAACTTTCTAAAACAAGCCACCTTTTTAATGCAACCATGAAAAGTGATGAAGGCTTTATAATACTATTTATTAGGTAAAAAGGCAGGAAAACAGTTATTCACAACTATAATTACAGCTGCATAAAAACGTATACACAGAGGCTAGGAAAGAATATGCAAATAGAAATTGTTTTTATATTGGCAGGATGATGGATAATTTCCATACACTTTCCACCCCGTTTTTCCAAAGTTTCTTAATGCTGATATAGGAAAAGGGCAATGTGAAGATTTGAATATCAACCTCACACTTGAATCCTGCATTTTCAAACCAGAACATCAGCCTCTCCTGGTCACCACCTCTCCACTGGGACCCAGGTCCACCTGGTTTATGGGATCCTGAACCCTGTGTTTGTTATGCCCAAGAGCTAACCGACACTTGGCAATCACTGAGGAGGGACAGTCTGCCTAATAAGGTTTTTACTCAGCCACTTTCTTGTACCACAGCCCAATGCTGTTTCCAGTTATGTCATTTTGTTGCCACTAAGTTAATTTTCATCTTTGCCAAGAAAGTGAAACATTAAGTTTTCACACTAGAACCAATGGCAGGAGTAAGGATACGGACAAGAATTCCGTTTTTTGACTTTTCTCTAACGACCAGCTCTTGTCACGCAGACCTTACTTAAATGATTTAATGAGACTTTCAGAAGCTATGAAACAATTTGATTACAAACTGGAGGATTAAAAAGAACAAGGAGTAATGTTTGTTTAACATGAATTCTGAGAGCAAATATAGGACAGTAGGCTCAAAGTTCAGATTCAGCTACTTCCACCTTCTTCAATGTCATACTAAGAGATATTCCAAACCCCAACATGGCATAATTCATTTAAATCATTACATTCAAATACAATACTTCAATTTCCATCGCTGCACACAAGCTGACAAAGGTGAGCTAGAAATTTGAATAGGATACTTTATTTGCTTTGTATATGGTGTTCAAATATTTTTTCAAGTGAGAAAATCATTTTAGCAGTGGCTGACAATTTATCCTGCCCTAAAACACAAGGGCTGTCATACGGAACAATGCTTCTGACATCCTGTAAGAATCACTGGTGTAAAACCTACAGCTGCAGATTATGAGTACCACTGGAGCTACGAGTCCTGATGCTCAAGGTAAAATGTTATTTTAACTTAAAGGTAAATGACATTACAACCAATGATCCATGCCTGGTTTACAGTTAGAAATGTGTTACTGAACAGACAATTCTCAGTGCTTACGGAACAAATCCCAATCACTGGAGGAAAACAGCAGCAACAGCTGCTATATCCTAAAGGTGGTGATGGTGGGTTTTAATGGGACACGGACAGCATTTAAAATTAAGCTCCTTTTCTTTCATCACATTTGAGGCATTTTTGTAATCGCTTCCTAACACTGGATACACAACACAAGGGAGCAACTGAAACCTAGTGGCAACGAAGCATATACATAGAGTTATGTGCAACTTATATGTTTGCAAACTTTTGTCAATTTGCAAAACCCACAAAAGAATACGAAGATGAATCTCTCTCAGCTGCCTGCTGCCAACATCATCCATCTATCACATAAAAGAAAGATACCGTGTGGAAAACAAACTGATAGAACACAGAAAGAACAATCTTGCCAGAAGAAAGCAAATTTTCCAGAAACAAAATCAAGAAAGGCCTAAAATGAAGCCTGACAGGCAAGGCTTACAGTGTTTTCTCACTCAGGATGAGAAGAGAGTTTGGAAAACGCTGACACCTTAACTGCCAACTCACTAAGGGTTTCTCTGGGCATCAAGCTTCACACAGTGCAGAACCAACGGCAATCTGCCCAAACTGCTTCCAGGAAAGCCCAGCCACACTGTGTCACCATACCTGAGCCAGCTCCTTAACGCGCTTCTCCAGGGGTGCTGGCAGGCCTTCGGGGAGAGAAGAGGGCTGCCTGAATTCCTGGTCCAATCCCACCCCAAGGGAATCGCTTCCATCATCCATATCACGGAAGGGGCTTCCTTCTGGAGACTCACTGAGCAGATGCTCCAAGTCCAAATCCGTCAGCGAGTCCATGGCAGTGGCCGCCTGGAGCAAGTCGTTGTCAGAAGTGGAGCCGAAGAGTGAAAGCAAGGGGTCAGAGGCACCCTCCAGTTCCCGCAGGCCCTGAGCTTCCGCCGATGAGAGTACAACAGGCTTATGCTCCTCCTCCCTTTTTTTCTGAGCCTCTTTCTCCTTCTGAAATTTCTTTAGCATCTCTTTAACGCTTAAAGCCCCAGAGTATTTCTTCTTCTTCTTCTCCTTACTGGCATTGAGGGCTGTGAAGCTGCAAACAAGAGGGAAACTGGTCACTGAGACTACAGGACACCTCCAAAGGGAACTCAAGAGGCCTTCACCCCTGCTCCCAGGGCCATGGTCTCCAGGAGAACCTGTCACAGTCCACCCTGTTATTCCTCCTCCCTCCTCTTGGCATATGGAGCTCCTTCTTGCTGAGACCAAAGCTTGAGAGTTAATACAGGTTAGCAACACAGTGTCACATAATGCTAAATTTCCGATGGGTTTTTAGAAATCACTGCCAGGCTGAAATAAAAGGTTGCAAAAAGGGGCAGGGAGGGCAAGAAAAGTATTTAGAGGGAGAAAGCAGGAGCAGCAGAGAACAGCAGCCAACTTGAGGAGCAGCTGGGGTGAGACCAAGTGAGGAGAAGGAAGCATGACCACAGACGACAAGGGAAAACAGCAGAGACAGGAGGAGAACTGGGGCGGAAAGGAGCACCCCGGAGAACGAGAAACATCAGCAGTCACACAGTGACAGGAATAGCTGCCAACACTGACAGTGGAACTATCTGACACACAGAGAGGTGCGCGTCTATGCCCAGAATGGCACTGCGGGAGGCGTGCGGGAGGACAGGAAGGCCAGGCCCTGCTGCCTCTTCCGAAGCTGTGGGGAGGAGGTGAGTCAGCTCCCAGTCGTCCTGCCCTAACAGTTCAGGCTTATCCTAGCAAAGAAGCTGCTGCCTCTCACCCGGCTTTGGAAAACTTGGACTTTTTCGATTTCTTCTCCTTGTCATAAGTGTCATCTTTTTTCTTCTTCTTTATCTTCTCACCACCTTCCTTCAATTTCCGCTTCTGAGAATTAAAGACAAGGCACAGTTACACGGCTCCCTAACTCAGGGAGCAAGTGCACTACATGGCACTGGCCTTGCTCCGCCCGGGGCACATCCCGAGACCTGTCTCATTTTCTTCATGAACAAAAAGCTCTCAGATCAGTCCCTGGACCACAAACCCACAGCATTCCCACCAACGGTGTCTCCTGGAAACACCTGGGGCTTAGACAGCGGTGACCATTCTGGAGCCTGAAACCTTTCTAGTTTGAAACAGTTACAAGTGAGCCCTACCTCTTGTTTTAAACACATCAAGAGTGGCAGACAGGTTTTTAAACACACTGATCCTAAGGCTGACTGGTTTTCAGTGGGATGACAGACAGCCCTGGGAACTGAAGTCCTGTACACATCCACAGAAGACGGTCAGCAAGGGTGGTGCACACTCCCTCACTCCACATCCTTCCCACCCTGAGGCCACTTCCAGAAATGACCCCTGCTGAGCCTGCTGGGATGTCATGTGACGTGGACACGATGACCAAGAGCTGAACAGAGCCCCTACAGGCACGTGTCCTTGTCAGGGCACACGTGTGAGAGGTGAGCTATCAACCTGGCATGGCTCTGCCTTTCCACCAGCCTCCTGAGCCAGGCTAAACAGCCGTATATTCTGGCGAGTCACCTACTGATCTGATAGGGTCACGTCAAAAAGCGTTCTGAAATCCAAAAGCAAGCACATTCTAACCTTTGGAGATTTTTTCTTCTTTTCTTTAATGAAGTCATCCTCAGACTCTGATGCTTGTCTAAACTGCAGGGTTCCCGAGTTAATGTAAAATCCTCCATACTTTGTAGTCAAAGAAGCAGGAACAAGCTCATCATACTGAAGGGGGGAAACAAATGGTCAGCTTCAAGTTTTGGTTCTGTAGTCCTAAGGTGAAAAGTAGGTCTCAAGAGAGAGGTGACTATGTTCTTCTGCCACTTCCAAGAGTATGCTAAAACATCCTTCTGGTCAATCATGAATGTCTGAGCTACAAAGTGTTTTGGACAGATCTGGTCATCATTTTCAGAAGAGGGAACTAATGCCCAGATCAAGAACATCATTTCATCTCTGATCAGTGCTGCTACTGCCTCATGCTGGGAAGAGGGCACATTCACTCTGATCCCACCCCCAGCTTCCTGGCCAGTATCAGGAGGAGCTACAGTGCAGTGGTTCTGACATGGCATTTTCAGTAACTACTTACCGCCTCAGAGTTATCGATGAAGGAATCGGATTCATCATAACCATACCCCATATCAATCAAGTCCTGTATTCGGTCTTTTCTACGTTTCTTTCCACCCTAAAAATGTAAAAGCAATAGTTCACACACTTTTTGATAAATATACATAATTAACTATTGCCTTGAACCTCATCAGCTATGATTCAAAGAGGTAACGCACTAACTGGAACGGTCACTCTCTCACATACACACAAACCCCAAAACCTTTCCTGAGTACCTTTTAACGTAGGACAGATTTCTATCTGTATAAAATGTCCTAGGACAAAAAAAGGTACTAAATGGCTTCTTATGCTTTGTACCAAAACATTTCTTCTAAGGTGGTCACAGGCCCTTCTCGGTTATTTGTCTAATTAGCTCCTCACCCCAGCTCTGCCATGCACCTTTTCTGTACCTTACGCATTAGATTTAATAACCGCTTCTGTTCTCTCCAAGCTTAATGCTTACTTCCGGAGCAGTGTTGTTTACATGACAATCCACTAAAGGCATATAGAAATATGCAGAAACCTCCCTGACCCAACGAGGCTGTTTTGTTGCTCATGAGAGAAATCTTACATATTTTTCTTCGAATTTCCGAGCAATGGCCTCCACTTTATGCCTTTCCTTTTCTTCATCATTGAAAGGATCCGACAGATCTTTCTTCTGTAAACAGATCATTCCACAAAAAATAAGTCACAAAATATTCCCATGTTCTTATTCATAGAAACTTCACTGACTACTCAACACCTGTAAACTACATAATAAAAACAATGTTTTTATGGAAAAGGACAAGAAAGAAAACATGCTACCATCTCATCAGTGTTTATCTTAATTAAGAAAAATTTTCATTCATGTAGTTTAGTAAAACTTGACTGAACGCTTAAAATTGCCCACCACAGCATGAGGGGCTGCAGGGCTCCAACACAGCAAAGGGCCTTTAGAAAGAGATGCCCAACCACTAGACAACCATGTTTAATAAAGCGGACTTCCTTATTAACTCTAAAATTTACTTTATACATTTAAAAACATTCTAGAAAAGAGTTTACCGACTTCCAAAATAGCCAATGGTTTAAAAACATTAAAATCCCACTGAATGTAGGGCAAGTTCCTGAGAGCCATTCTGCCATACTGTTTAGAAAGGTCTGAATCTGTACTTCTCTCAGTGCTACAAAGTTAAACTCAGGCTTCCAAGACTTATTTCCATTTTATAAGCTTATTCTTTTCTCATCAAATTTTCCAAAGTCTTAAGCTTCTTGAGCAAGAAATATAAAAAATAAATTATTTTATTTATTTTTTTTTTTTTTAGATCAGAGTCTCACTCTGTCACCCAGGCTGCAGTGCAGGGGCACAATCATGACTCACTGCAGCCTCAACCTCCCCAGGTTCAGGTGATCCTCCTGCCTCGGCCTCCTGAGTAGCTGGGACTACAGGCATCCAACACCATGCCCAGCTAACTTTTTTAAGTTTTTTACATAGATAGGGTTTCATCATGTTGCCCAGGCTGGTCTCAAGCTCCTGGGCTCTGTCCATCTCACCCTCCCAAACTGCTGGGATTATAGGTGAGAGCCACCACACCAGGTGCTATAGTGCAGTGGTTCTGACATGGCATGTTCAGTAACTACTTACCACCTCAGAGTTATCAATGAAGGAATCAGATTCATCATAACCATAAGTGGAAGAGACCAGGAGCCAGGAATCTTAATTTTAGTAAGACTCCTATACCAAATATGCTTAAGACTTCAAGACAGACGAAAAACACTCAAGACTATATGCCTCTTTCAAACAGACTTTCTTATCTCACCTTCCCATCTCCACCTACTAAAATAGTATCAGTTAAATGATCTGTGGTATACACATAGAATGTCTATTACAGAGCATACATCTAATGAAGATACCACAAATAGGGAGTCTTTCAAATACACTTATCTGGATCTTCTAATTTTTTCTACAATAATCACATATAACTTGAGTGGTTATGTAACTGGAAGAAATCCCACCAATCTTGAGCAGCACTGGATTCTATGTATACTACTCAATGCCTTGCCAACAACAGTCTTCCAGTAACTACTATTTCCTGACTGTATGACAGAAGGTCCAGCTCTGTCCAAACGTTAATCAGGATGTAAACTCTCTTCTGTCCAAGCCCTCCAGGGCCTGTGTTGCACCAGACTTAAACAATGACCATATTGTAACTTCTGTTACCTGTGGTGGTACCATGCTCCTAAAACATCTACAGGGTATTTGAGACTGGTACAGTGTTTTCTCTACCTTTCTATATTCCTGAGTCTAGCACAGTGCCTTCATACTGTTAAGAAATACACACTAGGCTGGGCACGGTGGCTCACGCCTGTAATCCCAACACTTCGGGAGACCAAGATGGGTGGATTACGAGGTCAAGAGATCGAGACCATTCCGGCCAACATGGTAAAACCCATCTCTACTAAAAACACAAAAATTAGCTGGGCGTGGTGGCGTGCACCTGTAGTTCCAGCTACTCAGGAGGCTGAGGCAGGAGAATTGCTTGAACCCGGTAGGCAGAGGTTGCAGTGAGTCGAGATCGCGCCACTGCACTCCAGTCTGGCGCGAGACTCCGTCTCAAAAAAAAAAAAAGAAATACACACTAAAAGAACTGATGCAAAAATATGTCTATTTTATTGTACTTTTAACACTGCAGAGTAAACCTGTAATAATTTAGGAGTTCTGAACCTGAAGTCCATGACTCAGTCCTCTGAATTGGATCCAAAGTTCTCTGTGTATCCTCCATGCATTTTTCTGCAATGGAGAAGGACATTTGGAGCCTCTAAAAAGGTGAAACTGGAGAACTGGAGTTCTAACTTCAGTTGAGCTACTGATTTGGTTAGAGCCCATGAACAGACACACTAACCAACCCCTGCTACTGTCTCTTCCTCTCAAGGAAAAAGATACCATTTTACTGGAAAGGGATTATGAAGGGATTTGAAATTACTTTTTCTCATCCTGCCCACTGGCCATCATCCAACAGGCTGACCCTTGGTACAGACTCATTGGCCTCCATTCTGGCAATCAAGCAATCAGATCTCAATCAAAGAAACACTTTTTTTTGTTTGTTTGGTTTTCTTCGGGGCTGGGGGATGGGGAATGGATTCTCCATGTCACCCAGGCTGGCAGTGGCGTGATTTCAGCTCATTGTAATCTCCACCTCATGGGTTCAAGCAATTCTCATCCCTCAGCCTCCCGAGCACCTGGGATTACAGGCTCGTGCCACCACACCTGGCTAATTTTCATTTTTTTATTTTTTATTTTGAGACGGAGTCTCGCTCTGTCACCCAGGCTGGAGTGCAGCAGCATGATCTCGGCTCCCTGAAACCTCCGGCCCCTAGGTTCAAGCAATTCTCCCTCTCAGCCTCCCGAATAGCTGAGATTACATGTGTGCACTACCATGCCTGGCTTATTTCTGTATTTTTAGTAGAGACAGGGTTTTGCCATGTTGGCCAGTCTGGTCTGGAACTCCTGACCTCAAGTGATCTGGCCGCTTCGGCCTCCCAAAGTGCCGGGATTATAGGCATAAGCCACTGCACCCGGCCTCCCAGTTTGTTTTTGAGACAGGGTCTTGCTCTTTCACCCCGTGCAGTGGTGTGACAGTGGCTCACTCCAACCTTGACCTCCCAGGTTCAAGCAATCCTCCCACCTCAGCTTTCTGAGTAGCTAGAACTTCAGGCATGTACCATCATACCCAGCTAATTTCTGTATTATTTGGCAGAGATGGAGTTTCACTATGTTGCCCAGGCTAGTCTTGAATTCTCATGGTCAAGTGATCCTTATGTCTCAGTCTCCCAAAGTGCAAGGATTACAGGTATGAGTCACCATGCCAGGCCAAGAAAACACATTTTTTAATCTCAGGAAAAAGAGATTAATCCTTCTAACCAGAAATACCCCTCGAAGAGCACACCAGTGAATAAGAGCAACTGAGCACTTGGCACTGAGGCATACTGCTAGAAACTTCACAACATGATCTCATTCCACGCTCAGATGGCTGTGAGCCAATTATCAGCCTCATCCCCATTTTACTAAGAGCCACTCTAGAGACCAGAATGCTCCAATTATGGAGCCCACTTACCTTTTCCTCAGAGCCTAGCACAGTGCAAAGGTAGAAGTAAGTGTTGAAAAATGCTTTTCACCTAGGTGGTATTCAAATACCGTAAGATTCCATCTACATAAAATACAAAAACACACAAATCTAAGCTGATCCAAGTTGTTAAAAATCAGAGCAGTGGTTGCCCATGAATATTGGGGTAGTCTTCGGACAGGGCAGAAGGAGGGTTTTCTGGGGTCCTGATAAATATATTTCACGACCCAGGTACAGGTTACATGGATGTACTGCATTCATGAAAATCCATCAAGTTGTGGCTAGGTAAGGAGGCTCATGCCTGTAATCCCAGCACTTTGGGAGGTCAAGGAAGACGGATTACTTGAGGCCAGGAGTTTGAGACCAGCCTGGCCAACATAGTGAAATGGTCTCTATTAAAAATACAAAAATTAGCTGGATGTAGTGGTATGCACCTGTAATCCCAGGGAGGCTGAGGCACCAGAATCACTTGAATCCGGGAAGCAAAGGTTACAGTGAGCTGAGATCGTGCCAATGCACTCCAGCCTGGGTGACAGAGTGAGACTGTCTCAAAAAAAAAAAAAAAAAAAAAAAAAATATATATATATATATATATATACACACACACACACATATACATATACATATATGTAACCATCAAGTTGTGCATTTGTCACATGTAATGTACTTAACCTAATAAAAAAAGTTTATAGGTCCAGGTACAATGGCTCATGTGCCACTGGCTCCCAAATCCCAACACTCTGGAGTCCAAGGAAGGCATGAGGATCACTTGAAGCCAAGAGTTTCAGACCAGCCTGGGCAACACAGTGAGGCCCCATCTTTAAAAAAAATATTGTTTCTAATAAGTCAGGTACAGTGTACTCCCAGGTACAGTGTACTCCCAGCTACTCAGGAGGCTGAGGTGTGAGGTTCATTTGAGGCACTTAAAAATGCTCTTCACCAATCACGTGCAGCGGTTCATGCCTGTAATCCCAGCACTTTAGAAGGCCGAGGCAGGCAGATAATGAGTTTAGGAGTTCAAAACCAGCCTGGCCAACATGGTGAAACCCTGTCTCTACTAAAGATGCCCAAAAAATGTGCATAGTGGCGTGCGCCTGTAATCCTAGCTACTCAGGAGGCTAGGCATGAGAATCACTTGAATCCAGGAGGCGGAGGTTACAGTTAGCTGAGATCGCACCATTGCCCTCCAGTCTGGGCGACAGGGCAAGACTCTGTCTCAAAAACAACAAGATAAGCAGTCTGTATGTTTTCTTGTCTGCCCCTATTCTAGGCAGACAGCAAGATTCCCTTGGAAGGAGAAAATGTCCAGCATGAAGTTCTAACACTGGAACTATCAGGGACTGGTTTCGTTTAAATCTAATGTTTATAACCTAAGCACAGAAAAATTTACCATTATAAAAATTTATATTAATTATCTATAATTTAAATGAGCCTCTCCCTTTGTGCACAGAGGTAAGAGCAGCAAACCTTGTGCTTGCCTTGAGTGCGTGACAGGATCTTGGGGCAGCCAAAATCTCAGTAAGTCTTGCCTCCTGACTCCAGAAGCCCCACATGCACACAATGAACCCTGTTCGTTAGAGCCACAGCGCCTCTGGGAACCCAGGAGTGTACCTTGTCTCCAGGCTGAAGGCCTTTCACCTTCCCTCGGATATTCTTTACCAGCTCTGGGTAGAAGAACTCTGGGCAGCGTTTGTGATCTGGTTCAAAGAGGGTGAGTGTAATTCGAACAGCTGCTGCGGCTGGCTCACAGTCCTGATGCTGTTCTGCTCCTCCAGCCTCCTCCTTTCGGGACTTCTTCAAAAATGCAGGATTCAGGGAACCTGGGAGAGAGGTGAACTGGACCCTGTGGGGCTCCGACATGGCTACCAACAAGCCTTAGCGGGTGTCACTGCATGGCTTCTGTTAACATTGAAAAGAAGAGCCAGGTCAAACAAAGATGATAAAATAATTTACCTGTCTAATTAAACACATTTAAGTTTAAGAAAATTTGTCTTAAACTTCCTAACAAATACTCCTGCCCTGCATACCAGCCTCTCACACCCAAACACTGACCTTTGCAAAATAACAAATTATCACATGTCAAAGACCTTCAAAATCACTTTAGAATCATCAAAATAGATTCTGAATCCAGAATTCTAAATGTTCACAGAATATAAATACACTAATACATGTTATACACATGTTCTGATTACTTCATACATAATTTTGTGTCTTGCTTTTCAAAGTTTATATTCTAGTGTGAACTTTCTACCATACCAATAAATAAGGATATTCATTGCAGCCTTGTTTATACAAGAAAAATGATGGAAGCAACCAAAATGATAATCATGAAATAGTTGAATAAATTGTGACTTTCTTACTGATTTGTAAGGGCTCTTGATATTATACATAAATTATTATATTATATAACACCTGTCATATCTCTTTTAAGTGCTTTTTCTTGTTTTGTTTTTTAATTTGCGGTTTAATGTTGCTTAGAGTGAGGTATGATAGAGTCTCGCTGTTATACCCAAGCTGAGAGCAGTGGCCCAACCACAGCCACTTCAGCCTCAACCTCCCAGGCTCAAGCAAACCTCTTACTTCAGCCTCTCGAGTAGCTGGGACTACAGGTATATACCACCACACCTGGCTAATTTTTTCTATTTTTTGTAGAGATGCCGACCCACTATGTTGTCCATGCTGGTCTTAAACTCACAACTTCAAGTGACCCTCCTCCCAAGGAAATGTTAGTCAAAACTAGGCTTTTTTCCTTCGGACTCCTCCCATTTCTTTAATGCCTAGACTGTCTCCAACCAGATCTTACAGAAGAACTTGTGTATATGGGTTTTGTTTTGTTTTGTTTTGTTTTTGAGACAGGGTCTCATTCTGTTGCCCAGGCTGGAATGAAGTGACCCAATCTCAGCTCACTGCAGCCTCAATCTCCCAGGCTAAAGCATTTCTCCCACCTCAGCACCCCTAGTAGTTGGAACCACAGGCCTGTGTCACCATGCCCAGCTAGTTTTTGTATTTTTTGTAGGAATGTTGTTTTGCTATGTTGCCCTGACTCATCTGAACTCCTGGGCTCAGGTGATCCTCCGGCCTTGGCCTCCCAAAGTACTGGGAATCCAGCTGTGAGCCACTGAGCCCAGTCTATATGGTCGTTTATTGATATTTTTTCACATTTACCTCATTAACACCAGCTGAATTTGCTAGGCTATAAAGTATGAAGAGAGGCTCTAACTTGGTTTCTTCCAGTATCGATCACTGAAGAATCCTTCCTTCCTCTGCTGATTTGGCATATACTGCGAAGTAACATCACAGCTATCCAAGGTCTGGTTCTGAAGTCCATCGGTCATATTAATCTAGTTATTTAGAGATTCTTTATCCAGTCTTAACTGTTTTGCAAAGTTTTATATTTTAATAATGTGAAGTTAAAACTCACATTTAGGTTGGGTATGGTGGCTCGCGCCTGTAATCCCAGGACTTTGGGAGGCCGAGGAGGACGGATAACAAGGTCAGGAGTTCGAGACCAGCCTGACCAACATGCTGAAACCACAACCCTACTAAAAATACAATAATCAGCCAGGGGTGGTGGCATGCCTCTGTAATCCCAGCTACTCGGGAGGTTGAGGCAGGAGAATCACTTGAATCCAGAAGGTGGAGGTTGCATGAACTGAGATCGTGCCATTGCACTCCAGCCTGGGCAACAAAGTGAGACTTAGTTTCAAAAAAAGAAAAAAAAACTTCACTTTATTATCCTTCTTTATAAATAATACTTTCCCATTCCAGCCTATATATTGACAGGTTTCCAAAAAACTCACTGTATTTTGGTTGTTAATGAATCACAAACGTGAATTCAGGAAATTTAGTATATATCATATATATCCATACACATGCAGATGTGTATACAGCCAATATTCACTTGTCGAATTAGGACCGTAAAATTGCAATTTATAAGATCAGATAAGGGAACAAAATATCTACAAATGAAGAGTTAAAATAATTCTAATCAGACAGCAAAACGATAAGCAGCAAAACACTCTGGTGCTCCAAAAGACCATCTCCCAGCACAAACTAAGACGTTAAAGATTTCCCTAAAAGAAACCTCCAAGGCCCTCAGGATATCTGTGATGCACTGGGTTGTGAAAATAAATCCGAACTGAAGGCTTACAGATTTCCCCACTAACAGAACCACAACAGTCTCACTTTAAGAAGGGAATCCAGCTAGGAAAGGTGGCTCATGTCCGTAAACCCAGCACTCTGGGAGGCCGAGGCAGGTGGATCATAATCAGGAGTTCAAGACCAGCCTGCCCAAGATGGTGAAACTCCATCTCTACAAAAATAAGTCAGGTGTGGTGGCAGGTGCCTGTAGTCCCAGCTACTCGGGAGGCTAAGACAGGAGAATTGCTTGAACCTGGGAGGCAGAGGTTACAGTGAGCCAAGATCGCGCCACTGCACTGCAGCCTAGACAACAAAGCAAGACTCCATCTTGGGTGGGGGGAGGGGTGGAGGGGGGCGCGGAGAAAGAAGGGAATCCAATGGGATGTAGGAAGGTCATCCCGGAAGTGGCAACCAGACAGTAAATACACAACCTTATATCAGTCCAAGTCTCAGAGACTGCAGCTTCAATCCTAGATGGTACAACTGCTCCTGCAAGCCAGAGCAGGTATACAAATAGGATAAAGTCAGTCAAACCTGGTGTCTATTCACACTGAGATTCTGGGTTGTCTTATAATCACTAAGATCAAGTTCTGCAGTTACTAACCCATTTGAAACATTTAAGAGAATCAGATACATTAAACAATGTTATGTTAGACTTACGACCTTAATTCAAAATGCTTAAGAAAATATAATTAAGTTCGAACATGTTTGAATGTTTAAAAATAATTACATGTTTATTAGACTTACATTTACATGTTTATGAGACTTATGAGAGTTGCTGAAGTCCTTGGAAAGGCACCCCCACCCCCACCCCCAAATAGAGCAGGGTTTCACCATGTTGCCCAGGCTGGTCTCAACTGCCTAGACTCAAGCAATTCGCCAACCTCGGCCTTGCAAAGACTTTACTACTTAGTTCACCGCTTTAGATGTTGGAAGTATTTGAGAGAATCGGAAATATAAGACTTTAAGTGCAGTTTAAAACATTTAAGATAATTAACTTTGTAAAAAGACTTAATTGCATAAGGGAATTTAATCTGTTCAACTGGTGCCTTAATTGAACCTTTGTCAAAGATCAAGTTTTAAAAAAAAGTTCTTAAATTTGTAAATAAAACAAGATTTGTGAGTAATTCTTAAAAATAGCTCAGTTTTTAAATACTCAACTTTAGCCCAGCATAGGGGCTCACGCCTGTAATCTCAACACTTTAGGATTGCTTGAGCCCAGGAGTCCAAGACCAGCCTGGGCAACACAGTGAGACCATCTATACAAGAAATACAAAAATCAGCTGAGGTGTGGTGACATGCACATGTGGTCCCCACTCCTCAGTAGTCTGAGCTGGGAAAATCCTTTGAGCCAAGGAGATTAAGGCTGAAGTGAACAGTGATTGTGCCCCTGCACTCAACCCTAGGTAACAGTACAAGACTCTGTCTCAAATAATAATTATTATTATTAATAAATATTCAACTCCAATGAGTTGAACATTATTTTAAGTATAGAAGTCTACACATAGAAACATCCCTCTCAAGGCTGGGTACAGTGGCTCACTTCCCGTAATCCCAGCACTTTAGGAGGCTAAGGCAGGATAATTGCTGGAGCCTAAGAGTTTGAGACCAGCCTGGGCAACACGGTGAGACCTCAACTCCAAAAAAAAAAAAATTTCTTTTAATTATCCAGGTGTAGTGGCACACCCATGGACTCTCAGCTACTAAGGAGGCTGATGTGAGAGGATGGCTTGAGCCTTGAGCCTGGGAAGGTCCAGGCTGCAGTGAGCCATGATCCTGCCACTGCACTTCAGCCTGGGCAACAAGAGCGAAATTCCATCTCAAAAAAGAAAAGAAAAAGATTCCGCTTTTAAAGCCTAAGCTGATGTTACTGAAAAAATATTGGCCTTCTCTGTCCCTTGGTTATTCTCAGGAACTTTATATTTTTTCTTAAATATATCCTTTTAACCATTATATTTTCAAATTGTTTATTGACGAAACAGAAAAACTAACAGCGTATTTCAATTTATAACGAGTACCCTTCCTGAATTCTTATTTTAATGGTTTTTTTTTTTCAAAACAGGCAAACCTATCATCTACAGAAATGAGAATTCTGTCTTCCCTTTTCCACAATTGCATTTCTTATTTTTGTTTCCTGTATTATTGCATAGCCTAGAACTTTCAGGATGTTACACAATATATTCTTGTCTAATCGTGATAGAAACGTATCATGTTTCTGATGTTAAGGGGAATACCTCTAGATTTTGGTGCAATGTTAAGTTTTGTTTGTTTGTTTTGTTTTTTGGGAAACGGAGTCTCTGTCGTCCAGGCTTAAGTGTGATGCTGCGATCTCAACTGACTGCAACCTCGCCTCCCGGGTTCAAGCGATTCTCCTGCCTCAGTCTCCAGAGTAGCTGGGATTATAGACATATGCCACGACGCCGGGCTAATTTTCTATTTTCAGTAGAGACGGAGTTTGACCGTGTTGGCCAGGTTGGTCTCGAACTATTGACCTCGGGTTGCCCGCACGCCTTGGCCTCCCAAAATGCTGGGGTTACAGGCTTATGCCACCATGCCCAGCCAAGATTCATGTTTTTAATTAAGTTATTAAAATATCCTTCAATTCCTCACAAACTCATAATTTTAAACTTAGGAACACATGTTAAATTTCTATCAAATTATTCCAATATCTTAAATAACGCTCTAAAAATCACTGTCTTAAAAACACACACTCAGTAAATGACAGTCTGTGCGGGTATTACACGGTGCTTCAGGGGAACTTATCTCCCAGTAATCATCAAGCTGCTGGACAACCCTGTAGGCTAAACTGCGACTTTCAACTGAAAGCTCTAACCACCACAATGCATTGGGGAAGTGCGTGTGGACCCGTCACCTTTTCCAGCAGGCACTGACTCAACAAGAGTCCGACACCAACTTTAGGTCAATCCTTGACACTGCGGAGTCTGTAACTGGGACTGGGATCTTTTGCATAATTGTTTCTACCTGGTCTGCTGAAGTTTGGGCCCGCGCTGCGCTCAACTGCAGTGAACACTTCCCAGTTCGTGGTTCAGTTTTAAAGTGTCCGAACTACGCCCGGCATCTGTCTTCCTGTTGTCACAACTTTTTCAAAAGTGTAAAAACTAAAGCAAGGCTAACGGCAGAGCCCGGTCCCGACAACGACACGCACCTTTGTCCCCAACGCCGACGCGGGCCGCAGACGTCCTCCCGCGGCGGTCCTCATGCCGGCCAGGGCCCCGGGCGGTCGCGCAGCTAGCGGTCGGCTCCCGAGCCGCGGCTCCCCGCCGGCGGGTGGCCCACGCCTCGGCCCATGGCCGGGTCCCCGCGCCCAGAGAAGCTTGGTGTGCCGCGCCGCGCGCCGGTCCAGGAAGAAGCAAAGAAATGCCAACTCGACGTCCGCGCAGCCACTCCGGGGACACCGGGGGGTCGGGAGAGCAGTCGCCGGGCGCCCCGGGAGAACTTGCAGCGCGGGACTCCGCGCTCACACGCCGCCTCCGAAAGCGGCCGTCAGGAGGAGCGCTCCAAAGAACCCGGGCGGTGGGAGCGGACAGGCGCGGACACCCGAGCCTCCCGGCCTGCGGTCAAGCGGAGCCGCCGGGCACGGGAGCCCAGACCTAGGCGGAGGGTGAGTTCCAGGCCGCGCCGAGCTCCGTCAGGGCAGCTCCCGGGCGCAGCGACGCGGCCGACCGGCGCCTCGGGCTCTGGAATGGTCCCGGGGCCCGCGCCGGACTAACGGCCGTAACGGAAGCGCCAAGAGGGGAGGGGCGCCGACTCCAAGGCCCGGGGGCGGGGCGGGCCGCGAGGCCGGCTCCCTCTTGCGCTCAGCCGGTCGCACAGTCGCCGCCGCCGCCTCAGACCGCGGACGCTTCGTTGTCACGAGCCGAAGGGAGGGGGTAGGAGCCGGGAATCTCTACGCTCCGGCGCGCGGAGACCGCGGCGCTCGCATCACGTGCCGCTTGGCCGGCCAATGAGCCCCGACAAGCGCGGTGACGTCAGAGCAGCGGCGTGGCCGATGACAGCCGGCCCCTGTCACGTGGTCTCGCCCACTCCAATGGGCGACGCCGGGGCGACCTGCTGTTCCCGGCGGCCCGTGCGTCGGCGGTGGTTGGGTGGTAAGATGGCGGCTGTGAGTCTGCGGCTCGGCGACTTGGTGTGGTGAGTCCGGGCGGCCGGGCCAACCGAGACGCGCCGGGGAACTGCCCGCCTGGGCGCGGGGTTCGCGGCCGGCCCAGGAGCTGCCTTCCTATGCGCTCCAGGTCGCGGAGAGAGGGGAAGAGAAGGTGCCGGCGCTTGTGAGCGGCGCCGGGCGGAAGGGGCAGTCCAGCCCCGGGGGACCGAGGCCGAGGGTGGCCACGGCGGGCACCGGCTCTGATCTCCGAGGCCGCCCGGGAGGGGGCTGCACTTGGGGCCCAGATATCGGCTGTCATGGTGAAGGGAGCCGCTTGTTCCGCGAGGCTTCCCCGGACACCGGGTCCCCGGGGTCTTGCTGCGACTTCCCAGAAAGCAAAAGCGCCGGGGACCGGACCCGCGAGTCCATCTCGCCGGTGCCAGTCGGTCAAAGCCCTGGTTGCGATGCAGCCGACCTGTGCTGGCCGCGCAACCGGGGGTGTCTTAAACCGGACTGCTTACGTTGCCCCGCGAAGAAACGGCGGGGGGACTTCGCTTTTCCAACCGATGGCTTGGCAGTGACCAGTGCCGGCTTGAGTGCCTCTCGTGGTATGCTTCTGTGTCCCAGACAACCGCCCGAACCAAGACTGATTGTCGCCGCCTCCCTCGAGCTGCGTAGCTTGTTTCTCCACCCAGAGGAAGGCTTCCATTAGCATTTGTCAAAGCCAGGCAGGTCTCCTGTTGAATTAAACCAGACTTAGGGAGGGGAAGTCTGTGTTTACAGAGGAAACTGTCCTCCCACCCCCGTCATTAAGAAGCTCTAGACAAGTGACTTTTGACAATTTTGTTCTGTATTCATTATCAACAGAAGAATGGACATATGCTGTGCACATAAGTATACAATTTTACGTTTTACTTCTGAGGGTCTTGGGCCCAGATGTGGAAGACAGGTTAAGGACTCTCGTTTGCAAGCTTTTGTTCCAGTACTTGAGGATGCCAGCAGAGATTTAGGAAAATAAATAGCGTATTGAGTGGGTTGAAGGAGCTGGACTGGCTTTTCCAGGGCAAGTGCTGACTCTGTGTGTTTTCTCTAGGGGGAAACTCGGCCGGTATCCTCCTTGGCCAGGAAAGGTGAGTGTCTTGCTACTGAAGGAAGATAACCGAAGATGGGTATGAGGAGGTGGAAAATATAAGATTCATTCCTCTAAATTTCTAGCATTGAGTTAAACGGGGCCAATTCAGATGGCACTTAGAATTCCCCCGAGTTTTTTTTTTTTTAAAGGCCATACGGTATACACCAGGTCGTTAATCTGCTCTAAACACTATTTGTTGATTTAGAGGACGTTTACGAAGTGTCTTTTTTTTTTTTTTTAACCCCGGAAATAATTCTAATCTGAATTTAGCTTCATGTTTAAATGTAACAAAAGGAGAAGAAAATATAAATTATCCAGGAAGAGAGAGAAGTCTAAATGTAGGTTAGTGAAAAGCCAAAGTATTTTTGTCCCAACTAAGTTTAAATCTTCTTTCTGTGTTACCATATGTGCTACTCCGGTGCCTCTTTGCAGAAGTTGGCATTCCAGATTTTGCATGAGGTGATCTGTCATTGCTTTCCAAATGTTCCGTTTTTATATTCTTGTTCAGAACCCAGGAAGTGTCTTTAGATGGTCTCTTTGCAATATGGTGTTTTCAGTTGTCCTTTGTTTTCACTATTTCCTATCTAACTCTTCCTGCACAGGAAGTATTTCAAAGAGTATCCTCTGCATTTCTTCCGTAACCACTGTCACATGTTGTGGGGGCAGCAAGGGGGCAGGGGATGCTGTTGATTTAACTGCTGGTAAAGCAGGGCCACTGCAGTGAAAGGGATATTGTGTTTACTAAGCCCTGCGCTACATGTTAGATATTGGGAACTTCCAGAATATCTGCATGTTTCCACACATCTCAGTCGAAAAATGGGAGATTTAGGCAAGTACTGGCCTTGGGTTCTGTTTTGTACATGAATAAATTTGTTTATAAGTAAGTCTTTTAATTGACTTTTTTCTTACCAACGTAGAGCTCTGTAGAGCACTGTGGAGCCACGAGAAAGCGGGCTGCTACGTTGCCAGCCAATCTTTTTCCCCCTTTTACTCTCCAGATTGTTAATCCACCAAAGGACCTGAAGAAACCTCGTGGAAAGAAATGCTTCTTTGTGAAATTTTTCGGAACAGAAGACCAGTGAGTAGTGGTCACCTGGAGTCTCCCTTTGCCTTTCTTTCTGTGTTACCTGGAGTTTGAGCTGTTTTGAGAGTATTCTCAGGATCCTTAGTTCAGTCTTCTTATAGTGTATAAGACTGGCATCTCATTCTGGCTTCATACCTAAATAATGGTGCAGTTGTCTGCAGAAATTGTCTTAGAAGAGCCATGCTCAGTTCTCTTTGAATGCTATTATCATTACGGTTCATGCATGAGGTATAGAGTGAAAACTAAAATTTTATTTATATTAATAAAAGTTCTTGTTCTCATTTGTAAAACTAAGTGATTTGCTTTGACATTATTATAGTAAGCCTTTTTAACAGATCTGTCCTAAAGTTGAGCAAGCCAAGACCATTCATCTGAGACTCTGACCACATAGCATGTCACAGTGAGGGGAAGAACGTGTATTAACTTGAGTTACTAGTGATTTGTTTGGCTTTCTCATCACTGCATCAACTTGCTTACCTCAGTCTAGCTAGATGGTTTGATTTCTTTTTTTTTTTTGAGATGGAGTTTCACTCTGTCACCCAGACTGGAGTGCAGTGGCATGACTTCAGCTCACCGCAACCTCCACCTCTCAGGTTCAACCGATTCTCGTCCCTCACCCTTCCAAGTAGCTGACTACAGGCACATGCCAGCACACCCAGCTAATTTTTTTGTATTTTTAGTAGAGACGAGATTTCACCATGTTGGCCAGGCTGGTCTCAAACTCCTGATCTCAAATCATCTACCCGCTGAGCCCGCAAAGTGCTAGGATTACAGGCAAGAACCACCGTGTCCAGCCAGTTCGATTTCTTTACATAGTTGTATTTCTATTTATTATTATTGTAGGGAAATACAGGCTTAGATTTGAAAAAAAATGTCTGTGACTTCTCTGGTAAATCTAATTCTGATGGTTAAAGTATTTCTTCGTAGAAAACGATATGTTATAAACAGTATTCTTCACTCATCCAGGAGATTTTATGTCAGAGTGCTCTTCCTGGTTTCATGTTTACAAATATACCCAACCCCCGGTTCTCTATCACAAGCTAGCTTAGCAGCCTGTGGTGGCAATATTTCAAAAAGATCATTGGCCTGGAGCTGTGGAGCCAGAGCTTCTGGAAGAGGGAATGTTCTTATAATTCCAGGGATTTGAAAAAGAAGATTTGGCTGGGCATAGTATCTCAAGCCTGTAATCACAGTACTTTGGGAGGCCAAGGTGGGCGGAGGTCAGGAGTTGGAGACCAGCTGCCAACATGACAAAACTCTTTCTCTACAAAAAATACAAAAATTAGCCAGGAGTGGTGGCGCACAGCTGTAATCCCATCTATTTGGGAGGCTGAGGCTTGAGAATCACTTGAACCTGGGAAGCAGAGATTGATTAAGACACTGCACTCCAGCATGGGTGACAGACTGAGACTCTGTCTGAAAAAAAAAAAAAAATGGTCCACAAGTGTTGTGTGTCCACACTCTGAATTGCTTGACGCTGAGGGAACTTGTAGGAAAGAAAGTGTTAATGGTTCCCACCTTGCAGATGCTCAGTTAAGTGCCAAGTTGCAAACATTTCAGAAAAGATTATGTGCAGAATGATGGCCGGGCAGGGTGGCTCACGCCTGTAACTCCAGCACTTTGGGAAGCTGAGGTAGACGGATCACTTGAGGCCAGGAGTTTGAGTAGCCTGGCCAACATGGTGAAACCCTGTCTCTGCTAAAAATATAAAAATTAGTCGGGCATGGTGGTACACACCTATAATCCCAGCTACTCAGGAGGCTTAAGACAGGAGAATCACTTCAACCTGGGAGGCAGAGTTTGCAGTGAGCCAAAACTGTACCACTGCACTATAGCCTGGGCAACAAAGCAAGACTCCATCTCAAAAATAAAAGGTTATGTGCAGAGTGAATTATAGCAGGTAATTATTAATTCTAGGCTGGGCACAGTAGCCATGCCTGTAATCCCAGCATTTTGGGAGGCCAAGACAAGAGGATTGCTTGAGCC